TCCGCCTCTTCCTCCCCGCCCACCCCCTCCTTTCTCTGTCTCAGCTGAAACTGGTCATCTCCCTGGAGGAACACAGACCCTGAGGTGTTGGCGGGGGGTCCCTCTGAGCATGCCCAGTGGGGAGGACTTCCTTTTGCTTCTGGTTAATCCAGTTTCTCTTCGTTCTTTGAGCATCTGGGGACATGAATGAATTCCCCTGGTCACTCTGTCACTCATTTGTCAGTTCACTCAGCGCTCATTGCCTTATTAATCCATTTGTTCTCTCCTTTGTTTAGTTCATGCTTTTTTTGGTTGTTTTTTAAGCAAGAGGGGGAGATTTATTAGAATACAGGGAACCCCAGAACAAACAGAATAGGCTCACTGGTCTGCCCAAAGGACCAGAGCCAGCAGCTGGTAAGACGAGAAATCAAGCCTGCTCCGTTCCTTCCCCCACCCTGGGGCCACGTAGCCACTCGTCTCTGCTCCCCTTTGCACATCACTGGATCCTCTTACCTTTTAAACCTGCTGGTTTCTCCCCATTTCCACTGCCATGACCCTAGTCTAAAGGACAGACCTTTTTTTCGGCTTGGAAAATTGAAAGGGCCTCCGAATTTTTCTCCCCAAATCCCCTCTTACCCATTTCCAATCTGTTGTTCTCCTCACGACAGCCAGAGTGACTTGCCACAAATGGAGAATGTATTCGGTGGTTTTCCTTGCTCCTAGGATAGTCAGCAGAATCGTAAGCGAGGTGTGGGCCTGGAGGACGGCTCGCCCACCCTCAGGGCCCTTTTAGTGGCTCCTCCCTCCCTGGAGGATTAGGCGGCCCTGCTTCTTGTTGCTCTCAGGCACAGCAAAGGGGCCGAGGAACAGCAAAGAACTGGCGTGGCTTTTCTTCTAGGTTGCAGAAGTAACCCTCCTGAAACACCGCCTAATCTGTTCTTCTCTTCTGCAGTGGGGCAGCGGAGGAGTTAAGAATTGGAGCTGCGTAATCAAAAGGCCGGCTCCATGGTATACTAGTTATATAATCTTATCCAAGAGATTTAACTTCCCCAGACCTCAGCTTCTCTTCTTCATAATGGGAGCAGCAATGGTACCTACTTCATATGGTATCATTTTTGGCAAGTGAGATAATACATAGTTCATACGTGGCGCAGTGCCCAGCAACATAGCTAGAGAAGCTAAAAGTTAATTGTTCAATTCTTGTTATTATTACATTCTATAAGCAAACTGCACATTTTTTGTAATATAAAAGATTATTTAATGAAATATTCTGTGAAAGTGTTGTGCCTTATTAATTTTCCAGGAATATCTTAAAAACATATTACATACAATAAACTACTAGAGATTTAAAAATTAATAATGAAATCCTGCAGTAGTAGGATGAAATGAAATCTGATAGTAGTCTTTATTTTTGAAAATCTTTTAAAGTTCTATATATGTGTGAGTTTGTGTATTTGTCATTACAAAATAGCAAGAGAATTTTCAGAAATGAAAACATCCCTGAACCCAGAACCCAGACCAAAATCCAGAACCTGAGGAACATTTCAAGGCTGTCCATGGGCCCCAACACACATTGATGTCCAATATGATAGACAGTTTTGTATGTTTTTAAAAAAACTATATAGACGTGAAATCACTCCATTTTTATCTTTTTGGGTCTGGATTATTTTGCTCTATAGTATGTATGTGCGATTCCTCCATGCTGTTGCATGTGGTGACAGTTCATTCTCGTGGCTGTGGAGCATCTCAATGAACATACTACAGATTATTTTTCAGATTCTGAGTAATGCTACCCTGATCATTTTTCTACAATCTTGGCTGTACGCATTCACTCATTTCTAGTTGATACAAGAGTAGGAATGGAATTTGAGGGCCTGTGTACTAGATACTGCAACCCAGTTTTCCAAAGTTGAATGTCAATTCTGACTCCTACTGTCCACGTGGGAGCTGTAGTCAATCTACATTCAGACAAGTAGGTGATATTAAAATTGGGAATCTTTTTTATCTTTGCTACTCTTTAGATGAGTCATGGTACTGTGGTGAGGTCGTAGTTTTTCATTACCTGCGTACTAATAAAGCATATAACCATTTCTGTGAAGTCTTTTTTAAGTCTGAATGCAGAATGGGAGGCCAGTTACACAAGCTGTGTTTACAAGTATTTCATCTTCCATGACTCACTCTCTAGCTGATGTCATTATTGCCATTGAGGTCAAATCAACCTAAAAACACTGCAATTCTTTTGTATGAAGAACAGTTATTTCTAAAATTATCTCCAATAGTAGGGATAAGGGTACACAGCAGTAGAATCATGGATGTATAGAGAGAGAAGGTTGAAACTGGAAAGGACTTTAGGGATAATCAATTGTGACGCCCTCTTTTATGCAGGAGGGTCTGAGGTCTAGTGAGCAAGAGCGAGTTGATAAATATCATGGAGATTTAGACTTGCTTTGGGTACATGGTTCATAGCATATTTCTGTAGACAAATTTCCGGAGAGGTTAAAGTTGCTGCCTCTGGTTCTATATAGGACTCACACTTATTGCATCGTTGAGCTTTACTATTATTGTACTCTAACAAATGTAGTTATGCAGCCTATCACTAGGATGTATCTGTCTGTTCACTGTGTTACGCATATGCCCAAATCTACCATCGCTATATTATTATTATCTTTAGGGGTTTCAGTGCAAGGCTGAAGGAAAGGAGTCCAGCTACAGAAAAATGCCAATTATATCAACTCACTTCACATGGTCATCGCTAATACCATATTTGGACAATAATATTTTCATCAGTCCCTGATGAATGTGTGAGAAAAGCGTGACATAGAGATACAGACAGGGAAAGAAAATGGTGAGGAATTAATTAAATGAGCTAGAATAGACCAAAGCCTTTTGATGTTTTCCCTATTTCTGTAGAATCCCAATATGAAAGGGTTACTTCACCCATCTTCCCCAAGTTCCTATTTAAGTGATGAAGGTACTGTGCGATATTCCCAGTGAGTGATTTTTCAACTTCTAGTTGCATAAATTCAGAGAGATGAAGCCTACAATTAATCAAATTAGTTTCTTCCATTTTCAGACATACATTTCTTGACCTTATGACACCTCATTTATTAGGTTTAAAAATCCATTTTTTTTTTAAAGATTTTATTATTTCCTTTTTCTCCCCAAGCCCCCCGGTACATAGTTGTATATTCTTCGTTGTGGGTTCTTCTAGTTGTGGCATGTGGGACGCTGCCTCAGCGTGGTCTGATGAGCAGTGCCATGTCCGCGCCCAGGATTCGAACCAATGAAACACTGGGCTGCCTGCAGCAGAGCGCGTGAACTTAACCACTCGGCCACGGGGCCAGCCCCTAAAAATCCCTTTTTTTAAATTCCCTTCTTGGTAGGTTGAACTCATTAGGCGTGGTTAAAGGGGCCCATATGCAGATCAAACCAATCTTTACACAACATTACTGTCATATGTCATATGGAAGGAAGATGGCATGTTTATAACTTCTGACTTAGTGGCAATTCACTGACCCTCCAATTTGTTTGGACTTTAATATATTTCCAACAATGTTTTCTGCCATGTTGCTGCTTTTAAGAAAGATTAGCAAAAGAGTATGGGTAAATTAAGAAAATATGGTACAGGTGGAAACCCTTAAAACTTTTTTCCAAAAAAAAGCATTAACCATTGATTTTTTCCACCAAGACATTTTCCTTTACTCTGTCACGGTATTCCACAAATGTCACCTTGAAAAGCAGAGGAACCTCTTGAGGTTTACTTCCATTCTGAAATTCTTTCACCAAGGATATTTACAATTACTTAAGGGGTACAATTCTAATAGACAATTAAGAACATCATTGAATTTTGTATGGTCCTTCAACTATACAGTCATGTGCACATTTTGTCAACAAGCCACTTCCAATGGTTGACATCAGACAACTGGAGCAGAGCCAGATGAAGCAGAGCACATCAAGAAAGTACGCAGATGAAGGCTTTTTACTCCCCATGTCATTAATATATCATTATAGATTTATTACCTTAGTATCCAAAACCATCTTATGCACTTTCTTAAAAGCTATTAAGTATATATACAAGGCAAATATTATATCCTCATTTAATTATGTTTTGACAGATATCTGATAAACATTCAAAATGTTATGGGGTGTGTGGTTTTTATTATTTGCTTGCTTTTCCATTCTGTATCCCAGATACGATGCAAGCACTGGGATGACAGGAATGAAACGCTCAGTCCCCGAGTAAAGAATGTTCACAGTCTCCTTGGGATCGATGATTCAATCAACAGAGTGAAAGAGAAAATGATGGCTTAAGAACAGCGTCACTCATAAACAACAAGGAAAGGGGTTAGGACTGTGCAGGGGGAAGAAGGGAAGGACATCTCAGTGGAAACAACTGAGCTCAGAATCTGAGCACAAGGATGTACTTTACCAGGAGACTTCTGTTTTGCTCTCTGTCCTTCCCGCGTTGGGCTTCGTATTCTCTAAGAAGGCATTGTCTGCCCACCTCAGGACCCCTCATTCTCTTCCTCTCTGTCTAGAATTCTCGCCTCTCCCCACCATCCACTGTACCCCTATTCATTGTTTATTTCTGAAACTGAATTTCAAAGATTCTTTTCATCTCTGCACTCTAGGTTTACACATTTTGCTTGAACTGAGAGTATCTTGCCTTTTTACTTCAGGGTGATTTGGAGTTTATTATGAATTATCTGTAAGATTAGTTAACTAGTCACGCTCATTTCCATTCATTAGTATACATTCATCAGGAATCATTAGTATACAAACTACTGGATTCACCATGAAATGCAAAGCACCTAGAAGGACAAAAAGGACATTCTAAACTCTAACAGCTCTTAGAATAATGAAATTAATGCATAAAATAAACATCAAACAAACGAAAAGTTGGCACACTAAGATGGAGATTGGAAAGTTTTCCAAAAATAGAGAGAACCTTATTTAAAATGGAGATATACACTGAAATATAGTATATTTAGGAAATTCCAAAATATTGGTACCATTCTGGCTTAGTAAAATACTTATTTTATTAATTAAGGTAGTTGAGATGACTTTGCACTATAATAAACAATCTGAGACACCCAAGAGTATGTTTGTGTGTATACATATATAAAGACATATTTGCTTACACTATATACATATTTACTTAAACCAAATCTAGTTTTCAGTTTCTGCAGGGCCGTTTGACATCTTGTTCTGTAGCTATAAATCAGAGGGTTTCATGTGGGAACCACAAGGGTGTAACACAACGAGTTCACTTGTCTTGATCCAGGGTGTAGGAAGGACTTGCCCTGAAATACATGAAGAGTGTAGTTCCTTGGGAAATTGCCACAGCAGTTAAGTGGGAGACGCAGGTAGAGAACACTTTGAGCCTCCCCTCAGCAGTGTGGATCTTCAAGAAGGATAGGATAATACAACAATAGGAGACAAGAACTCCTGAAATGGTACTCAGTTCAGTGAAGCCAATAATGGTGCATGTCACTAACTCATTGATCTGTGTATCTGAGTAAGAGAGTGATAGAGGAGGAGAGATATGACAAAAGAAATGGCTCATCTCATTTGACCCAGAGAAACCCAAGCAGAATGTTAATGTGGTGTGTATCAAAGCATCTGCCATTCCCACCAGATAAACCCCAGCCACGAGCAGGAAGCACACTCTGCTGCACATGTTGACTGTAGAACAATGGGCTTCTAATGTCCTTGTACCAATCAAAGGCCACCATTGCCAGCAGTAGACACTCAGAATCTGAAAAGATAGGGAAGATAAAAAATTGCAGAGCCAAGCCAAAGAAGGGGACTGACTTGCTCTTGGCAAAGAGGTCCACCAGCATCTTGGGCCCAATTGCTGAGGTATAGCAGAGGTCACAGAAGAGAGGTGACTGAGGAAAAAGTACATCGGTGTGTGCAACTGGGAATCCACTTTAATTAAAACAATCATTTCCAGATTTTCCAGAAGATTAATAAGATAAACAACTAGAAATGTGGTAAATAGGTTCACTTCAGTCTCAGGGTTATTGGTAGTTCCAAAGAGAAAGAATTCGGTCCAGGAGGAGCAATCTTCACTGTCCATCTTTTTTATTCTTGTTGTAAACTCTCACAAAAATGATCAAGACAATGATAGCTCAGCATTGAGGCTTCTGGGATATCCAAAAATATTATCTGTAAGACATAAAATGATTTGTTTCTGTAAATTGTCTTCTTTACCCATAGAAAATAGCCCAAGTGCCACTTTTAAAGAGGCATTATTGTTTTGTGAAAAAACTAAAAATATGAGGGATTGGAAGTTGGTAAACTTTAATTCTAAATCTATTTTTCGCTCCTGAGATATGTGACTCATCTTGGCCTCTGTTGCCCACTGTCAGGCAGTAGATTTGAAGGAACTGAAAGCTCATTCTACATCCAAAATAATAGGAAAGAGACAATAAAGTTAGACAAGGCCAGAAGATACAGGACTAACAGAAGTTTGACACAAAGAACCACATTTATCGCATTATTCAAGAAACATGTTGTGGGGAGGGCCAAATGGTAAAGGGGGTCATTGGCACAGCGATGGATGGAAGCTAGACTTTTGGTGGCAAACACGTTGCAGTCTATACAGAAGTCGATATACCGTGATGGACACCTCAAATCTATATAATGTTATAGACCAATGTTACTGCAACTAAAAAAAAAAAAGAAGAGACGAATTAACAAGTAGCAATGCCTTCTCTGGCAGTAATTCACCATTTTGGCTGTAGATAGAATTAATGGGGACTTTAATAAAAAAACACTAATTCCCAGATCACACCATATGTGCTCTGGGTATATCCCATAAAAAACGCTCTAAAAATCTGTCCAGATGATTCTATTACCCAACTGTTATTTGTAGCCACTGAGATAAAGAAACACAGTGAGCTATTATCAAGCTTCCATATTAGAGGCAGACATTGTAAGCAGTTACTTTTCTATATAAGCCTCAGCACAGGACAGCTTAAAATCTCGTTTTCTAGACTTGAAACTGGAGTTTGGGGAGATTAAGTAACTTTAGCAAGATCACAGACTAGTCAGCAGTAGAATGGGATTTGAGCATATATCACTCTGATTGAGAAGCCCTGAGTGCTTTTCAAATTTACGACACCCTGTCGTGTTGGAGACATTTCAAATATCAGTAAGAGGACCCTTCTTGATTTCTAGTAACCATATCAGATGAGTCAATAATCTTTTCTACTTAGCAGACTCATCGCTCATTTGTTCATTTGGTATCAAATGATATCAAATATTTACCATAAAATAGGAACCAGGAGAGATATTGAAGATGTTCTCCAGAAACTCAAAGCCCTAGAAGGGATTCAGAAGAGCACACAAATATTTTACTAATATATTGTGTGACTTACAATTCTGATTATGACAGAGTTGGCATAGACTCACCCTCACATCCTAAGCAATTATAGAATTTCATCAGGGTCATAAATCAACTGTTCTGAGGCATTAGGCGATGGACAGAATGGGGAGATAATCCTTGAAAGAAAGGGAGCACGTGAGGTGAGTTTCATATTTATATGTCTACCTAGGGACATTCCCCAAATATGCAGAAAGTCAGAGTTCCAACACACAGCTGAAGTTTCACTGCATGGAAGAAACAGCGGAGTTCAGGGCTGTTAAGGTAAGTGCAATCTGCAGGGCAGGGGACCTTAGAGAAAAAGTACCTGAAATTTTCTTGGGGTCACCCCTGTTGCTCTTGACCAACCCCTAAGTGGCACGCGGGCAGGTGAGAATGCACAGGGTCTAGCAGAAAATACACGAGGGGCTGAAAGCTGAACAGAGATTCCAGAGGCTGCAGCGACCTGGGGATGTGTGGGATTTTGAACTAACCAGGGTGAAAATAACTTGAAGGATAACAGGGACATTCAGTTGAGATTCCAGAAAGGCGTCATCCTAGGAATAATGTCCACAACATATTGGTAAAGGCTGTGCCTTAGTAGAAAGGAGAAAACTAATACAGACTTTCCCTAACAAAGCCAAAAACAAATCTCTGACAGGATCAAAATGATCTGCTAATAATCTAACTGCTTTTCTTTAAAAAAAAAAATACAGGCGCACATACACACACACAGTGTAGAGATCTACACAGTCATGCACCACATAATGATGGTCTGGTCGATGACAGACTGTGTATATGATGGCGGCCCCATAAGATTAGTACTTAGTGGACTAATAATAGCCTAAGTGTGTAGTAGGCTATACCATCGAGGTTTGTGTAAGTGCACTCTATGATAGTCACACAATGATGAAATCACCTAATGATGCATTTCTCAGAATGTATCCCCATCCTTGAGTGACACATGACTGTGCAGTATATGTCTGTGTATATATATGCACACACAGATAGATGCATATGCAGTATATGTGTATATATATATACACACAGTGTAGAAGAAAGAATATTTTCAAGATATCATATACAAAATATAACATATAATTTTAAAAAGCAGACATGAACAGTTCTGGGAAAATGTAATCCATAATAGAGAAAAAGTCAATAGCTAAAGATAGATGTATGAGCCAGACAGTGGAATTAGTATACAAGGATTTTAAAATGTTGAAGAATTGAGAAAAATTTAACTAGGTAAACATAAACTTAAAACTAATCAAATGGGAATTCTAAAATTAACGATAAAATACTTGAAATAAAAAATCCATTGGATGGGGCCTGGCCCAGTGGCATAGTGGTTAAGCATGCCCCTTCTGCTTCGGTGGCCCAGGGTTCGCCAGTTCGGATCCCAGGTGTGGACATGGCATCACTTGGAAGCCATGCTGTGGCAGGCGTCCCACATATAAAGTAGAGGAAGATGGGCATGGATGTTAGCTCAGGGCCAGTCTTCCCCAGCAAAAAGAGGAGGATTGGCAGCAGATGTTAGCTTAGGGCTAATCTTCCTCAAAAAAAAAAAAGCCATTGGATGCATTTAAAAGCAGATTATATACAGCAAAGTTGAGATAAGTGAAAGCAAACATGGATCAAAAAACTGATGCAAAGAGAGAGAAAAAAGAACAACAAAATAGAACTGTGGGAAAATATCAATATTCTACCATATATGTAATTGTAGTCACAAAAAAGAAGAGAGAAAACGCAGCAGAGAAAACATATGAAGAGATAATGAGTAAAAATAGTCCACGTTTGATGAAAGACATTAAGCCACAGATTCAGAAATTTTAGAAAGCTGCAAACGGAATAAAGAAAAACAAAACAAAACCTAGTACATCACAGACAAACTGTTGAAATTCAAGGTATTACAAAGATAAAGACACCAAATAACAGATGTAGGTTTGCTTCATCAGAAGACATAAAAATCCAAAATTGTACTCATCCAACAGCATAGATTCAAAATAAATGAAGAAAAATTGGCATACCTTAAAAGAGGAATAAAAACAAGTGGCTATAGTGGGTGGAGAGGAAGGATGAATAGGAAAGCACAGAGGGTTTTTAGGGCAGTGAAAATACTCTGATCCTATTATGATGAATATGTCATTACACATTTGTCCAAACCCATAGAATGTACAATACCAAGAGTGGACGCTAATGTAAATGATAGAATTTGGGTAATTATGATATGTCAAAGTACATTAATCAATTGTAATAAATATACCACTCTGGTGAGAGATGTTGATAATGGGGGAAAGCTATGCATTTGTGGGGGCAGGAGGTATATGGGAAACCTCTGTACCTCCCTCTTAATTTTTCTGTGAACTTTTAAAAAAAATTAAATCTGCAAAAGAAGACAAATGTTGAAGAAATGCAAGATGGTGATCACCTCCACATAACTTACTTCTGGGGTTAATTTTTTTTCTCCTTATTTGTATGTTTTCGCCAATAAAATTGAAAAAGAAAACCAACAGACAAAACTAAGAAACAGATGTGATCAATGTAAGCTAATGCTATCAAAATATCTGTCATTGAATAATGTGTCTAAAGGAGCAAATATTTGGGGGCCGGCCCCACAGCCAAGTGATTTAAGTTCCTCTTGCTCCGCTTCAGCGGTCCAGGGTTCACGGGTTCAGATCCTGGGTGCAGACCTGCTCCACCATCAGCCATGCTGTGGCGGCGACCCACATACAAAGTAGAGGAAGACTAGCACATATATTAGCTCAGGGCTAACCTTTCTCCAACAAAAAAGAGGAGGATTGGCAACAAATGTTGGCTCAGGGTAAAATCTTCCTTACGAAAATTTAAAAAAATAATAAAAGAGCAAATATTTGGAACTCTTGACAAGTGGCCAAGGAATTGGCTTAGAGACTTAAGATACACATTCCAGAATGACACTGATGGAATCAAATAAAAAGGAGCCAGTACTTTCTGAGCTGTTTAAAGTCGATTTTTGCTCCTGCTGCTGTAAACTGGAAGATGGATGAGAATGGAGATGGTGAGAATTTGTCATTTATAATTTTATTCTGGTTTCTTTTTCTTTTTTTTTTTTTTTTGAGGAAGATTAGCCCTGAGCTAACATCTGCCACCAATCCTCCTCGTTTTGCTGAGGAAGACTGGTTCTGAGCTAACAACCGTGCCCATCTTCCTCTACTTTACATGTGGGACGCCTGCCACAGCATGGCTTGTCAAGCAGTGCCATGTCCGCACCCTGGATCTGAACCAGCTAACCCCAGGCCACTGAAGCAGAACGTGTACACTTAACCGCTGCACCACCAGGCTGGCCCCTGTCATTTGTAATGTAAAACTTTATGAACCATGAAACTTTCTGGAGACTTGGGCCGGTCAATTTATTTACTAGAAATGATGAGACCACCATAATCCATAAACTGTCTATCTTCTTATCACCATGGAACGAAATAGAGGAAAGAAACACACAAATTTCTCATCCCTGTTTTTTTTATGTTGCTTTCCTAAATTACTTCTAAGCTCCCTGAATCAGATTTCTATTATAATGAAGTCTTAGCTTTAAAAAAAAGTTGTTTAGTTAGAACTTCATAAATGGCAATAAAACGTTTAACCAAACTGCCAGCACTCAAATTTGTTAAATGTTTTTTATTTGGATTATGACAAGAGCCTCATGGAGACTTGCACAATTTGATATTAGGAACATAAACTATTAGTAGGGAGATTTGTAAAGTAATTCCAAACAAAACCAAGCAGCATGCATAACTTTTAAAACTGCAAAACACGGACAAAATTCTAAATGTATTTGGATAATACAGTAAATCATAAAATATTATAGTAGCAATGGATTATACAAGTTCTGCTGTCTTTTAATGGGAGAGACAATGTAATTTCTGATGCAAAATCAGCCATTTGTGAAGCATCAGCTATTAAATTAAGAGCTTTCAAGTCTGTAAAGTAAGGGGAAGCTAATGGAAGTCAGAGAGAGTGAGGCATTGGTCAAGGCTACAAGGACACAGTGAACATGTCGACCCCATGTGGGCATGGCCAATGTTATTTGGATCAGGGATGACCATTTTTAAGTTTGAAGTAAATGCAATATAACTCCTGTTTCTTTCCTGTAAATAACCAGTATATTACAACTACACAGACTTGTTGGGGGAGTGCATTTGAGGAAAATTAAGGAAATGGGCTTTTTCCCTCTCTGGGAAGGAAATAAATAAAAGCAGTCAGAGGACAGATACAAGTGAGATTAAAATTTAGCAGAAGCAGTAAATTAGGACAAACTGACTTGAAGAAACAAAGTCCAGTGATTATCAGGAAAAGGCATGAGGAAAAGGAAGGGTTTGAGGTTCTCCCATTACAGGTGGGACATGGGCATTTTTTATGAAAGATCATGTCTTCTCTCGACACTTGAAGGCGAAGAGTGATTTTATAGGACTGGTGGACTTGGGGACATCTCAGTGAAATTATCCATTACAACTTTCTTTTTTCTTTGCTCTTTCACTACAATTTTACATTTGATGAAAAATATTGTACCCAAGCAGACCAATTTGTTAAAGTTCCCTTTGAACTGATCACTTGTACGCTTTATAGTTTTAAAATTGGATTATGATCTTTAGTACCTCTACTGACAATTAGACTTTAAAAGTGTTAGGCAAACAATCTGGCCATGGCCCCCGTCTCTGACTCACCTGATACCTTTCTCCCCATCCGTCACTTTTTCCCAGGCTGGTAGCCACAGCACTCAAATGGGTCCCCACCCCCATGGATACGTTCTTTGACTGTACCTCCTACCTGGAAAGCCCAAATCTCACCTCCTTAGAGAGACCTACCCTGACCAGCCAATCTAAAATAGAGTGGCTGTCTGCCCACCCAGCCATCTGGGCTCTCTTGATCACATGACCCTGCTTTATCACCATCTAAAATGACCTTGATTTTTCCTGGGTTTACTCGCTTATTGCTTGTCTCATCTCCCAGTGCTAGTCTGGAGGCTCCTTTGTGGTGCAGGATCCTAAATTATGCTGTTCAGGACTGTGTCTCCAGCACCTGAAATTGTGAAGAGGGAAAATACGTATTTGCAAAATGAGTAAGTCAGCCAGAGGTATATATTAACAAAGAATTAATCATACATTTTAAAATAGATGTATAGAAAGTACACGTAAAGGCAAAACACCAATTGCATGTATAATCATTACGATCATGTTCACAGCATGACTTGTTTAAAATTTCTTCAGAACAATTAATAGCAAACGAGAGTTAGGTCGAGTATGTTTCTCATGTTTTCTAAGTGGGAGAAGCGTGGAGTAGTCATATTTAACATCTGCCTGTGGTGGGCAGAATGACGCCCTGAAAATGCCCAGGCCCTAATCACTGGAACCTAGGATATGCTACGTTTCACGTCGGAAGGGAGCTTGCCAGTGTAATTAAGATTATGGACTTTAAAATAGGGAGATTATTCTAGATTATCTGAGTGGGCCCAAATTAATCACACGAGCCTTAAAAGCAGATAAGTTTCTCCGGCTGGAGCCAGAGATGTGGTGGAAGAGGAGGCAGGAAAGATGCTATAGAGGTGACGGCAGACAGAGTCCGAGTGAGAAGGGCTCAACACTCCACTGCTGGTTCTGAGACATGAGGGCACACCTGCAGGGACTAGAGAGCAACGTCCGGGAGATAAAGACAACCCACAGCTGCCAGTCAGCAAGGAAACAGGGACCTTTTCCTACAGGTGCAAGGAACTGAATTCTGCCAACAACCTAAACGAGCTTTGAAGTGCCTCCGAGGATCTCCTGCTAGAAAGGAACACAGTCCTGCCAACATCTTGATTTGGTTCTTGGGAGACTGGACCAGAGGAACCAGCTGAGCCACACTGTGCCCAGACTTCTGACCCACGGAAACTCTGAGATCATAAATATTGTTTAGGCTGCTAAGTAGTGATAATTCATTATGACAAAAGAAAACTAAATAATGTCTAATAATAATTATAAGAATAACAAGTAACATGGAAGTCTTACAGTGTGTTAGAAAGTTTGCTAAGGAATCTATGAGCATTTCATTTTATTTTTATGATAATTTATGATGTCGTGTACTTGGCACATTTTGAGAAGTCTATTTAACCCAAACTTCTTGTCTTTGAGAACCGCCCCTCCTTACTCACACACGGGAGCGGGCCTTTGGCAATGATGTTAATATTTTGTGATCCCATTGCTCTGGTCTAAAGAGGACCAATGGTGAACACTTGGCCCAAGATGGTCACATAGATCCTAGTCCCTTGATTTGGAATTGTAACTGAGAGATGTTACTTTCGTGAGCATGGAGAATATGAAATCAGAAATTGTGGAGTGGCATTTACATGGAAAGAAAGATAGAATAATGAAGACGTACAGAGAAAAAATAATGGCCAGAGCTTACTGGGCCAGAGGTGAGAGAGAGAGATGTAAAAAGTGGCTTCTGAGGTTTTAGATGGCTTTCCTGTTTGTCTCTATTGCCTCGTGAGGCCCAGCTGTAATTCTGGGCCACCACTTCATTATGGAAACTTTCTCCACTTAGCTTAGACTAGCTTGAGGAGAGTTTTCTTACTCCCAACCAAGAGGGTGTTAACTAAGGCAGGTAGTATTGTTATACTTTCACTTACAGAGATGCTGTATTCATTAGGGTGGGCTCAGCTGATGTAACAAATAGGTTGGTGAAGTTCAAAGACAATGCACTCAAGTAAAATCAAAGAGACGGCCTCAGTCAGCAGCAGACTCTTCTCCTGGCGATTCAAGGAACCAGGTTTCTTTCAGTTGCTGTTCCGCCATCCCTCAGAGTCTTTGTTGTCATCTGAGTCCAGCCTGTATTAAAAAAGGAGAATGGAGGAACAATATGGCCTTCCTAAAATCCTCAGCACCAAAGTAGCATCTATTGCTTTTCTGTTCCTGTTCCATTGGCAAGAACTGGGCAGACAGCCACAATTAACTGCAAGAAAGATTGGGAGATACAGACCAGCCAGGAACCCAGGGAAAGTAAAAGTAGTTATGATAATCAGCCAGCAACCTCTGCCAAAGGATGTTCAATAGCGTGTAGCTGATATTGGCAGAGGTGGGGATGGGAACACGGATGCCTCAGGAAATCTGGATCTGAACCACTTTTCTCTACAACACTTTTGCTTCAGCTGGTGCCTTCCATCTGTTTTATCAGTTGATTTAAAATTCCACTAAACCTGTTACGTAGCCACTTCACACATTCTGTGCTTGTTGATTTACTTTTAGTTTAGATAGTATCAGAGAAAAGAAACTCATTACTCGGTGCACTCAGAGAGGGTCAGTGACAAATTACACAAGAACAGCTGAGTCCTCAATTAGACTCCTCACAGCAAAGCTCAGAAATATGAGCACCTGTGGGGCCCGCCCAGTGGTGCAGCGGTTAAGTTCACACGTTCCGATTCTCGGAGGCCTGGGGTTCACCGGTTCGGATCCCAGTTGTGGACGTGGCACCACTTGACAAAAGCCATGTTGTGGTAGGAGTACCATGTACAAAGTAGAGGAAGATGGGCATGGATGTTAGCTCAGGGCCAGTCTTCCTCAGCAAAAAAAAAAAAAGAAGAAGAAGACGAAGAAGAGGATCGCAGTAGTTAGCTCAGGGCTAATCTTCCTCAAAAAAATAAATAAGTAAAAAGAAATATGAGCACCTGCTACACTATTTTTTTTTTCCTTTTTCTCTCCAAAGTCCCCCCAGTACATAGTTGTATATTCTTAGTTGTGGGTCCTTCTAGTTGTGGCATGTGGGACACTGCCTCAGCGTGGCTTGATGAGCAGTACCATGTCCACGCCCAGGATTCGAACCGACGAAACAGTGGGCCACCTGCAGCAAAGTGTGCAAACTTAACCACTCTGCCATGAGGCAGGCCCCTCCTGCTATACTATTTAATGACAAATGGTAGCCACAAAATTGAAACCTGTAACCTCTTTCGGATGAGTACTTCTGAGAGTTTACTAACAAGAAGTCATTTTTTACTCCATTAGTATGAAACAATTAAGTGGGAGTAGGTAATCAACTTAATTTGAAGTTAATTGGCCTAAAATACAAAAAGTCTCTGAATATATTCTAGCATTCTTAATTTTGCCCTGTTACATTTCAGGGTTCTTTGGTGACGCATTGGTGAGATAACCAGGATTAGGGTCTGGCACTAACCCGTAGATCAGGGGTTGCGTTGAGCATAGAGTGAGAACAGGCGTGGTGATATGGATGGTGTGCTTGAACAGGGAAGTTCTCTTACACACACACACACTGTCCGGGGTGTGGTGGGGTGGGTTCCACAACCTACAATTTATCCACATTCATACTTCAGGTACAAAAATTTACAGAGTTTCCAAGGTGAAGAAATGCAGCAGGAAGAAAAGAATCATGGGTAATCTAGACAGGTGGCTGGAGCTGGGTCTGCCTGCTCACGTCAGTCAACAGTGCGCGTCTCTTCCAACTCCAGTTTCAAACGGGGAGTTTGAAACTGGCCATGGCAGGAATATTTACAGGAAGTGGTATATACTACAAATCATGATGTCCCCTTCTCCCCACACAGAACTAGCTGATTGTTAAGCATTTACATGGTGTATTAGCCAGGGTTCTCCAGAGAAACAGAACCAATATGATGTATAAAGATAAACTTATTATGAGAGATTGGTTCACATGATTACAGAGGCTGAGCAGTCCCATAGTCTGCTCTCTGCAAGCTGGAGGCCTGGGAAAGGCTGTGGCATAATTCTACTCTAAACGCAAAGGCCTGAGAACCAGGAGCTCCAATGTCCTAGGACAGGAGAAGATGATGTGGCAGCTCAATTCGCCCTTCCTCTGCCTTGTTGTTCTACTGAGGCCCTTCATGGATTGGACGCTGCCCATCCACATTGGTGAGGGTGGCCGTCTTTACTCAGTCAACTGATTCAAATGCTAATCTCTTCTGGAAACACTCTCACAGACACACCTAGAAATAGTTTTAGCAGCCATCTGGGCATCCCTTAGCCCACTCAGGTTGACGCGTAAAATTAACCATCACACCTGCACATCACTGGTGGTACCCGTAATCCAGGTGGACTAACGTGATCATCTGAGAAGGTTTTTTTCCCAGGTGACATTGTTACTGCCTGGGGCCAGGCTTCTGAAGCTGACTTGCTGACAGTTGAGCAGGGCCTGACAAAAGCATGTCAGTCTCAGACAGCAGGCTATGAGCATGAGAACTGCCAGTCAGTACAGTAGGAGACACTCTCATCTACCATCTGGGGAAGGAAGACTGCAGAACCCCATTGTCAACAGAGCCCCTCAGTGTCGGGGGCAGAGTGGAGAGTGGTTCATATGGGCTGACTTTACAGGGGTCTCACAGCTTGTGCTAGTCCATTCTCCCAGGGGAATGATAATTTAGTACTAAATTCTACCTTATGTGCTGTTTAGAAAACGTGGGAGAAAGTAAATCCACACAGTGCCTGAACAGAAAGCCTTGTCCTAACTGCAGAGTTGGCTGGGAAACCTTCTAGAAGCTGAGTTAGCACCATCCCCGTTAATTTGGGGGGCCCTTCCATGATATGTAGATGGAACCTCACCACAAATCAGATAAAAGCAGTCCGCCCTGTGTCTTTTCGTCTATCTTTCCATCTTCTTCACTGGTGATTTACAAATCTGCCCAGTTAACGATCTACTGTGTATGCTAGCCTATTGACAGAGAGCTTGCTGGGAACTAGTCTGGGGTCCCATAAAAGTGATCAGTTTTCCTTTTTGATGCAACCTATGAAAAAGGAGAGAACCTGATGGCAGGTAACCTGGAGGAGTCAGAAAATATTTCCAGTCAGCCTGATGAGTGCATCACAGCATCAGGACACTTATTTCCTCTTTTACTGTTAGAAATCATAATCAAAATCCTACCCCAGCATCAGGTCAGGGACTTTTGAACTGTGACCCAGGTGTCTTACTGAGTTGTAGCTCGATACAGAAGTATCAGAGTCAGACAACTCTGTATTTGAGCACTTTGCCAAACCAAAGCAAATCAAAACAAACAAGTCGGGGACTGTGGCAGGGTGTGTAAATGCCTTCAAGTTGGCATTCTGGTGAGTAGAGAGCTGGAGGGCAATTCTAACTAATTCCTTAGCCACTTTCCAGAATGCCAGGGGGAAAAATGTCTTTACAACCTGAAAATCTACGGAATCTGGAGATGAGTTCAAATCTTTTTTGGATCAGTTTCAGGCTCATTCTTTTCCAAGTAAATTGCTCAATCTAAGTGTAAGTAGAGTATGATTGCTCCTCCTCTCCCCACAACTTCTTTTAGCTATTAACACTGAAGGCAAGCCGAGAGAGGGTAAAAAATATCCCAGGAAGGGAAATGATGCTATTTAAGGTCCAATCCCACTAGTGCCAATGAGAATATATCAAAACAGATGTAAGTTTCAATAGTAGTGTTACTTGCCTTTGAACAGCCCAGGGGACATACTTAAGGTGAACACCTTGATCAGTTTTCATGGACCCAGGCAGTGAAGCAGTATGGTGACAGGAAGAAAACTGTGGCCTCTTTGAAAAACATGGGTGACATCTCCAGATTTAGATTTGGCTTTTTTCCCCCTTTCTTTTCTTTCTCTTCTCTTCTCTCCTCCTCTCTCCCTCTCCTTCTCTCTCTTTTTCTTTCTGCTAAGGTTCTGGAGCCTCTTCATATCTAGGTAATGGTATCATTTAATTGGAATTTCCTTCAAAAATAATAGAAGTGTTCAGTAGGTAGATACCACCACACTTATACGCCCAGACAAAGAAAGAGCTCAGAGGTGTAGACATTTCTGATTGCAGTGAATTCCGACACTATTCTTTAAGTGCTGGCTCAACAGTGTCAGCAGCAGGAAGACATCCAACAACTGGACACCCTTCCTTTTCACATCCCGTGTACTAACGCAAGAGAGCAGGACAGAGAAGCTGGTTACTATCTCCCACTTTTTCTCACACCTGGAGCACCTCAAGTATTCCCAATGTCAAAGCTTAAAAACTGACCTGGGAGCCGCTTCAATGTCTTCAGAGTGGAGGGAAAACCTATGGAAGAAACCCCAAACCAGAAGACATGGCTTCTCTTTCCATGGGGAACACAGGATAGAGCTGAAGGAACTCTGGACATTTGGGGAGAACTCTAGGGTTACTGTATTGTCTGAAACAAAGGAGTTGGAGTAGCACATTGAAATCTGCAATTTAGCAGAGGAATCTCCATACCCGGCAGCCTACGTCTTTATATAACCCCTATTGATGTGGTGCAGGAAAAGGAATCAGGCAAAACAGAGCTGCAGTAAAGTGAATGAACACATCACGCCCTGAATTCAAGATGCCTTGGGCTCTTTACTTGAGAACCAGTGGCCAATGTGGGACATAAGTGAGTTTAGCAGACACCCAATGGCTAGTGAGGATGAAGGAGCAAACAAACAAAACCCCCACCACTGCTCCCTACACCACCGCCTCATGAATTTATTCATCTTTTTAATTTTAATTTGGAGATATGCATTTACTCGCAGTCTTGTTATTATTTTATTTAAATAGCAGGATGTTTTCAATAAGATACTAAAAAGCACAGCAAAGCTGTTACAGGTGCTAGCTTCCTCACGGTGTATAGGTTTAAGACGTCTCTGGATAAGTACTGATAACTCCATACTTCTATGTAATATAAGGTTGAGAGTATCTAAGCATTTATTGAGCACCAACCCTGAAAAATATCCATCATCACTGATTGGACTTGACCTACTATTACAGAAATTACAAACATTTGGGGGGTTCATGGCTACTAAGGGAACTTTGAGGATTATAACTTGAACATTAAATGATTCAATGACTTCCCTCACAAGTGTGAAAAGAAGGCCCGGTTGCATCTAAGAAAGAAGATACTGCCTTCCAGACCCGCGGATCTTTTTGAAACTTGGGAATGGACAGAAGATGCTGATAGGCACTTAGGGTACTGGAAATTGTCTTTTGAATGCTCTGGCTTAGCTTCCCTGGGTCTTGCTAACTCACTATTATTACAGACGGCAGTTTTGAGAAGGTAGAGAAGTTGATCTCCATCAAGATGAGGCTGGGAAATGGATTCCATTCGATTTTGCTAATTATGATCAGTCTGAGATTGAGACTCAGTTCTTTACTTGAAAATCAGAACTCTTGGTCCTAATGTGGGCCATTATAGACAGATTGTAGAGTTTTATGAATTGGGCTGCCTTTTGAGAAGTGAACTTATGAACTTAATTTACTTGTAGATAAAAATCTGTGTCATTTCAGATGCTAAGGTTCAGTGACGAATGGCCATAAGAGAAACTTCAATTTCAATATTCACTAGAGGCCACATCTTAGCAAACAAGATTGATATGCCATCTTATCTGTCCCATTTATTTGTGGGAAAGGGGAGTCAGGGTCTATGTATACTCATAACAAGCAGCATACGCACATTCTTATTCTTGGCAAAGAGAAAAAGAGGGACTCAACCCTGGAAGAGACAGGACCAGAAGCAGTCCCCCAATAGATGCCAATTAAGTGGGGAGTGGAAAGATGGACCTTTTACTTCTAGGACCAAGGAGACATTAGATGCTGCCTCAGCACTGAGCTGTCAGTGAGGGAAGACTACCAACCACCCATGGCTACAGAGTGTCTGCTCATCATCTTCTTCCCTTCCTGATTGACATGTAATGTGTGGACCACATCTATCCAATGATGTGGACAAAGTAAGCTCCAGGGACACAGTATGTCTTGGTGAGATTGGAAAGTCTCAACACAACCTGACAAAGCTGACTCAACAGAATCAGGTGGAGGTAGTTGCTCTGTGAGGTAAGGTGCAGTATATACACAGCTCCTGGTACATCCTCCTGAGTTATCACAAGCAATTGTTTTCAAATAAGTGATCGACCCAATTCCAAAATACTCTCCCAAGGTTCAGTTTTATATACCCATTTCTAGTATTGATTTTCTTAGCCTAGATCCTCTAGAAAACAGAGTCTCAAGTAAGGAGTAAGGTATTTGGGAAGCGCAAGCCTGTTTAACCCAAACCTCTGGTCTTTGAGAACCGCCCCTCCTCACTCACACATAGGACTGGGCCTTTGGCAATGATGTTAGCATTTTGTGATCCCATTGCTCTGGCCTCAAGGGGAACAATGTTCATAGAGGAAATAACCCACGTGTCATCAGTAGGAAAGCTGTGGGGCATTCACACAGAACGCTCCTCAGTTATGCTGAGGAGCAAATGCTGCCACACACATCCGGGTGAATCTCATAGATGCGATGCTGAGGGAGGCAGGCTGGACATAAAATAATACATGAATAACATACAGAAAGGAGGCCCTCTTTTCTCTTTTTTCTTTCTTTTAACATAACAGGGGCCTTGAATCAGGCTCTCCATTGGCAATATCACGTCATGAAAGATTAACAGCTGAAGATTCAGGAGACCCATGATCTGGCTGAGCTCTGTTCCCGAGAGCTCCCATATGACAATGGGCAATCTCCGCCTCAATGTCCTAGGTTGGTCCGTCTGATCCATCACACCTCTGGAATATACTAAGTCTACATCTGTTCATTAGTGTGACTCTGTAATTATGACCCATAACTGAGGGCAGTGTACTTATCGTGTCCTGCTGCCTCCTATTTTCTCCTTGTTGGCTTTCAAGATGTTATGGCACATATTGAGCTAGGAATCTTAGTGTAGTACCAGTGACGACTTGTGAACCATTCTCCTGGTGAACATCTTTCCACTGCAGCCACATGGCCTAGAACCTTCTGCTGTGAACCAGATGGTCAATCCTGGAGAAGTTTATTTCCTGCAGATTAGCCGAGTTCTGTGCTGAAGAGCTCTTCTCTCCCCACTATTGCCCCAGACAGGACCTTATGAACCTTCCCCAGTCAACTTTTGCTGTGGAGGGCAGCCGCTGTGAACGTCACCACATTGGCCTTGAACAGAGGGAGTGCCCTGGCTGAGAAGTTAGAGGGAGAGGAAGTCCCTGGTGCTGCCTTCGGGGCTGCGAAGTCTGAACCTCTCCTTCCAGAACGGTCCTGTTCTGTGTGGTGGGCAGGTTCTGGGGTAACAGAGTGCTGTTTCAGTTTCGCTGTGCCCTCACCAATTTCCCAACACTCTGCCAAACATTACTATATGTTTGCAGAACCTCAAAGCATCTCCCTCCAAATATTTATTAAAACATTTTTCTCTTAATTTCTTTAAAAGACCTACGACTATTTAAAGCAAAAGTTTAACACTATATTGTGGGATTAAAACATGAGTAGATGTGAAATTTATGCCGACAATAGCACAAAGGGGAGGAGGTCAACGGACCTGTTCTGTGGCAGGGCTTGTCATTTTAACATTGATGAAAATAGTACACTATTAAGTCTAAGTAGATTGTGATATGTTAAAGATGCAAATATAACATAAGTATGTTAAAGATGCACATTCCTGGAGCAACCGCTAAAACTATGCAAGTGGTTCACTTAAATACTAGTAAAGGAATTAAATAGAATACAAAAAGGTATTTGTACAAGAGTGTTCAGAGAGGAAATAGCCCACGTGCCCATCAGTAGGAAAGTTGTGGGGCACTCACACAGCAGAACGGTCCTCTGCTGTGCCCAGGAGCAAATGCTGACACACACACAGTGGGTGAGTCTCATAAACGTGATGCTGAGGGAGGCAGGCTGGACATAAAATCATCTACGTTGTATGATTTCAGCTTAAACGAATCTACAGTGAAAAAACGAACAGTGGTTGCCTCCGGGAGAGAAAAATTTCATGGGAAGGAACATGTGGGCATTTTCTGGGGATAATGGAAATATTGAATTCTTAAAAGGGGTGAAGCTTATATGGGTATATTTATTTATCAAAACTGTGTGGTTGAGATTTGTACCTTTCAATGTACATACATCTTGCCCAACAAAAAAACTGAAAACACATAAAGTGAGGGGTGGGGAATGGGCTGAAGTAGAGATGAAAGAGAAATGGCAGACAATTAGTAGCTGTTGAAGCTGAGTGACGGGTCTGTTATGCTATTTTGTTTATTATGTATATGTTCCTAATTTTCTGTAATAAAACACTTCCATAAAAAGAAAACTGACCTACAGTGTTAGCTGGTAAGATGTTGGTTACCTTTGGGAAGGAGGGAGGGAGAAAGCGATTGTCGGGGGCCACGAGCAAAGCTGGTTCTAGATGTTGGTTACACAAGTGCATGCCCTCTGACAATTCATCCAGTTTTACATGAATGATTTCTGCATATATTTCTGTATGCAGGATATACATCAATAAAAAACTTAAATCCTGCCTATTTGTACAAAAATCCTACACTCGATATTTCAGAACAACAGTAGTGTGTTGCTTTGTTTCATTTGAAAGTGGAACACATTCACTCATGGCAACATCCGATGGATTTTAATTTCCAAAGTATCTATTAATGTCCTCACCCTTGCGTGACCCCCTAGGTCTTTCTAGTTTTGACTCAATTTGGTAAGTGGCATGGTTTTGAGTTTTTATGATGCAATTTTTATCCAGCAAAGTCTACCCCCACGGTGATGCTCACCAAGGCCAAGACGCCTAGGACAGTGCCGTGTGCACAGCATGCTCTCAAGACCTGTGGGACTGGGTGGAATCAGGAACAAAATGAGGAGTAGGGGTTGGTCCACGAAAAGGGTGGTGAGTAGGTGATGCAGGTGAGACTGAAAGGCTGTAGCTCAGCGACAAACGTTTCCACATTAATTAGAGAAACCACTTGTAACTCATTCACCAAGATGCTGGCTTAAGGCAGCGGTTCTCAGCAGTGGCGGCACACTGTACTCACCCGGAGAGCTTTAAAAACACTGGTGGCCGGGGCCCACTCCAGGGATTCTGACTTAACTGGTCTGTTGCCACGAGGGTTTGGGGAATTTTAAAAGGCCCCCAGGTGATTCTAATGCGCAGTTAGGGGCAAGAACCACTGACTCGAGGTTGGGGAGGCATGAGCTGTAAGGGTGAGCTACGGAACTTGCCCCCCACCCCGGCCCGCATTGCAGAGCCTCAGTTGGGGTCTTAGGTAGCAGCTTTGCCCTGTTGAAATCAAAGAGCTGCTTCAGGCCTTGCTCAGTTGTCTGGCTAAACTGGAGCAGGAGGAAATGTCTCCTCAGCAGGTCTGTCTTTATGGCTCTTGCTCTCAGAGTAAGAGCTTGTTTCAGGCATGGTGGTTTGATTTAGTCTGAGTTGAAAATCATGAATAGCCTACAAATACCAAAAAGGGTCGAGAAGAATTTGCAAACACGTGGAATGCATTAGATGTGTTTTCAAGTTTCTCCTACGATTATAAATAAAAAGATATAATGTTGAGCTTTGATTTCCTAAACTCAGCCCTCAGCCACTTACCTAAATTATGCCCCATCTTTCCAAAATGCTTCCGCATCCTCTGGCGGGGCTAATTCCCAGCGCTGAAGAGTACTGGATGGACGTGAAGCGCAGAGGAATCCTGCTTCCTGCAGGAGCGTCCCTCCCCAGGACCCGGGAATGACGAGGGCAGCTGCAGGAGTGTGGTCTGGTGGCTGTGCTTGGGCTCCGGAGTCGGGCAGAGTCGACACCGTGTCCCAGCCCAGCCCCTTAGTAGCTGTGGGGCTTTGGACAAGTTACTCGACTTGAGCAGGTATACAAACCTCATCTGCAAGAAAAAGCACAATGACACTGATGGCAAAAATGGCAGTGATTTTCCATCCCTCCTGCATCCATGTCCTTTGTGATGTGGTTTTGCAGCTGCTCCCATCAAGCGGCAGAATCTGCTCCCCAAACCTTGCATCTGGGCTCGCCCTATTCGCTCTGGCCAACAGAATGCAGTGGCTATGACAGTGTGCCCATTTCAGGCCTGAGCCCGAAGGTCTTGAATGCGTTTGCTTTTTCCTTCAGAATTCTGCCATCTCCATGAGAACAAGCCCATGTTAGCCTGCTGGAGGATGCGACACCACGGCGAGGAGAACCAAGGGGCTCAGTCAGCACCCAGCTCACACGCAGAGGCAGAGTCCCCCAGGCAGCCAGCAGCCGACCAAAAGGCACGAAGGAGCCCAGCTGAGCCCAGCAGAGTGGCCCAGCTAAGCCCAGCCTAAAGTGCTGACCAGCTCAGCTGAGCTAAGTTTTGGGGTGGGTTGCTAAGCAGCAATAGCTAACTTACAAATAGACCCACTGCACAAAGGATGTCAGATTCAATGCCACATTGATTCCAAGTTACCCGGCGAGCAGTAGTCCCCCCAGAGGTACTGACTTCCCCTTCTACAGTTTCATCTCTTGAGTTACACAGACATGCTCAGAGACACGTATGCATGTGACTGGTGCTTAAATGGGTTGGAAGGCCAGACACAGGTTCTCCCTAAATTTCTACACCTCACGCTGTGGACTTCCACACACACACTGAGGCCGCCTGACAAGGACTTCCTTCCATGATGATTAGCCTCGCCCCCCTCAGCCCAGCTCCCACCCCGTAAGGTGATAACAGGCCCCCAGGGCCAGGGACTCCAGTAGTTGAGAATTTGGAGATTCATGACCTGAGGCTACCGCATCCCTTTCTTCCTTCCCCTGGTCTGTCCCCAAGCTGTGCTGGCCCTTCTATTCTGCCTTGACTGCTCCCAGCTGTTCATGCCGCCCCACGCAGCTCTCTTCCCTCCCTCCGTCCCTCTCTCCTGCTCTAGCTCTTTCTTTCATTAGTCTTTGTCCCTTTTCCTCAGTAAATTAACTCTTCTTCCACTCTGCTTTATACACACTCACTTGGGAACCAAAAATTCACCCCACAGCTTAGTATTCCCAGTTTTGGAAACATTCTGGACATTCTGGAATGAGAACCCTGCCATCCTCCTCCAGAGAACCTGGAAGCAGCTGATTCGAGAGGAATCTTGCTTTCTCATTTCCTTCTAATTAAACCATTTCTCCTCAAGCACCAGCATTCAAGATAAAATGGTTTAAAACTGTTTGTGGTCATAAAAAGGAACAAAGTCCTGACACGCTACAACTTGGATGGACCTTGAAGACATTACGCTGAGTGAATGAAGCCAATCCCAAAAGCCCAGGTGTTACATGATTCTATTTATACAGTAATAATGTCCAGTACAGGGAAACCCACAGAGACAGAAAGTGGATGAGTGGCTGCTTAGGGCTGGGGATGGTGGGGCGGGGGTGACAGCTAAAGGGTACAGGTTCCTTTTTGAGGTGATAAAAATGTTCTAACATTGACTGTGGTGTTGGTTGCACATACACACGAGTATATGAAAATCCATTGAATTGTACACTTTAAATGAACAAATGGTAATGTATATGGGCTTTACCTCAATAAAGCTGTTTAAAGTTTTAAAAATTACAAACTATTTTATACATACAAAATAATATATATATATATACACAAGGTATGAAGAAAAATAAAATAAACACCCTGTACCTATCACCTTCTTAATAAATAAAACTTCATTAGTACCTTTAAAGCCATCTGCATGGTCCTTCTGAAATATTACCCTTTGCCTCCTCACCAAGGAAAATCATTCATCCGATGTTTAAAAAAATATATTGTTCCTTTGACTTTCATCATAGTTATACTACATATGTATGTACTGTAAACATTGTTTAACTTTATAAAACTTTTGACAAATGTGCTGTATATACACCTGTAACTTGCGTTTTTCACTCAACGTTGTATTTTTGACTGCCTTCCACGTTTTAAACAGTTTCTATTCAATGTATTATTTACTAATTAGCCTCTAAAGTGAAGATACTAAAACCTACCTCAGAGAGAATTCTTGTGAGATAATGAATATAAAGTGCTTATGGCAGTGCTTGACTCAGAGGTGTTCAATTTTTGATATATATTATTATATAATTATTAATATGTTGTTATAATTGCTATATATATTATCATATATATTGAATTATTATATATATAACATATATTATAATTATTGCTATAACATTCTCTGTGAATGTGTGCTATTTCACCAACTGCATTATACATTAATAGTTTTCAAGCCATAGTAAAATCTGAGTTACACAGAACTTTGGGAAGTGCCTCATTCTAGATATTTGAATTTCTGGGTAGCTAAGGTTTAAATTTTGTATGTGCCAAATTCATTTCTAAATGTATATTTTCCAATTTAAACAAACTAAAGGGATGAACTTCATAAAAAGTTTCAGCCATTTCCACATTGTCTTGCAAGCCCGTTATGAATGTATGCGGCAGAGCTCTCATCCGACGGCACAAACCGTTCCGTGTTCTGCTTTAAAAGTTCTCCTTCATTTGTGCACTTCCACAGCCCGACACAGCCCACAGAGCTGCCGTTTTTCATGACTGTGCGCTTCCCCGACTTCCACACAGTCAGAGGGAGAACAGCTGAGGGGAGAGGACACAAGGCAGCCAGGCTCTGAGCCCCGACCAGGAGAACGGTGGGACCCCGAGCCCTCCCAAGGGGGGATCAGAGATTCTCCTGGGGCCATCAAGTTTTCCACGGCGGCTGCTGGTGCCAGTTTCCAAGCTGCCGCCATCGGAGGGCAGTTTGATCCTGTCCAGCAGCACAGGTCCATCTGTGGGGGCTGCCTAGACGCCTTCACTGGAAAGGACTGTGAGGTCAAGTTCAAGCTCTGCAGAGTGAGGCCTCGCATTTATTACCAGCGTCTGCAGTTACAGTTCCCAGCACAGCCTTCACCTGCTCCCGCTTGTCATGAGATGTTAAATGACCCCAGGGCGGTCCTAGGGCTCTGATGAACATTACCCTGTCCTCTAGGAGCTTCGGGGTCAGAGAGTGCTCTCCTTCACTCCCACTGCACATGTCTGGATGTATCAGCAAGCATGTGTGTTTATAGGTACTGTAACTGTGTTCTGGATATGAATCCTGACCCAGGCATTAATTTATTTAAAACAATGTTGTAACATTTTCAAAATGTTGGACATCTTACATTCTCTATTTCTGTTATTTCTAATTTTATTACATTATGGCCCAGAAATGTAAAGTGTAAAATTTTTGTCATTTTATATTTACTAAGTATAGCATTTTGTTTCCAGGTTTTGGTCAAAGGTATTTCTATTTCTTTGCAAGTCTGTTGACTCTTTTTTTTTTTAAATTTGTTACTACATTCTTTTGAGTATCTTCATACAGATCAGTTACATTTTCACTGTTTCTTCTGCTTAAAAAATTTCTGGCCCTTCATTCTGTCATGGACTTTTCCTTCCATGCCTTATGCTCTAGATTCTATGATCTAATATCTGCCTGTGAGTTAAGATCGCTTTCAGTTCTAGACACCAGAAAAGCTGACACACAAGAGTATGAACAAGCAAGGGAGGAGCAGGCTGAAGAGGTAGGAGGGGCCAGGTTGTCTGAGCTCTTGCAATGAGAAGCAGTAGAGTGTTTAAATTTTTTTTTTTTAAAGATTTTATTTTTTTCCTTTTTCTTCCCAACGGCCCCCGGTACATAGCTGTATATTCTTAGTTGTGGGTCCTTCTAGTTGTGGCATGTGGGATGCCACCTCAGCGTGGTTTGATGAGCGGTGCCATGTCCGGGTCCAGGATTCGAACTGACGAAACACTGGGCCGCCTACCACGGGGCCAGCCCCAGCAATAGAGAGTTTAAATGGGGGAGGTGGGTGGAGCATAACATGGTTCTTCCCCTTTTCAAGAGATCACTCTGGATGCTGAGCAGAGAATGGCTGTAGAAGGGCAAGCGAGGAAGTAGAGACAGTTGGGAGGCTGTCCTTGGCAGTAGACCAGTAAGAGAGGAAGGTGGCTGGCCCCGCCAGAGAAATGGAGACAGCAAGAAGCTGCACTCAGGATGCATGTGACAGGCAGGGCCAACAGGACTTACTGTGAGATTGCATGGGGGGTGAGAAGGGCAGAATCAAGGATGACTCCCGGGTGCTCTCCTCAGGGAAGAGGACCCAGGCCTGGGGGTTATCAGCAGATGGTATTCAAAGCTGGGAGACTGGGTGGGATCTGAGCAGAGAGGGCACACAGCAAAGAGAAGGGGGCTGAGGATTACTAGAAATCTGGTGGGGGGAGGAGGAGCGGAAGGAGGAAGATAGAGTGAGGGGGAAGGGGCTAGGAAATCCAGAGGAAAGTGTTTCGAGGAGGAGGAAACAGGGGCCAGGGGGCCAGCGGTTAAGTTTGCATGCTCTGCTTTAGTGGCCCAGGGTTTCAACGGTTTGGATCCTGGGGGCAGACCCAGCACCGCTCATCAAGCCACGCTGAGTAGGCGTCCCACATAGCAGAACTAGAAGGACTTATGACTAGAATACACAACTCTGTACTGGGGGGCTTTGGGGAGAAGAAGAAAAAGAAGAGGAGGAAGTCTGGCAACAGATGTTAGCTCACGGCCAATCCTTAGGGGAAAAAAAGGGAGGAAGTGCTCAATTGTATCATCTGTGTCAAACGCAGCAGAAAAGGTGAATGAGATAACAAACCTTAAAAACTTAGCCTTGTATTTAGCAAAATGGAAATCATTGGTGACCTGTATAAAAGCCACTTCAGTGAAGTGCAGTGGAGAAAGCTGGAACAGAATCAGTTCAGGAGAGAACGTGAGGAGAGGCTGCTTGAGTTGAGCAGAGAAGCAGAACGGTACATGGAGAGGAATCTGGGCTCAAGGGAAATCTGTTTCTTTAATGCACAACCTTCAGGCATGTTTGTACACAGATGTTGGCAAAGAATCATCAGAGACACAGAACTCTGGACGTACCCTGAACGGGCTTCTCAGCCCAAGTTTGCTCAAAGCTACAACTTTAATCTTTAAAATAAATGGAATTTTTGCCATCTTTTTCATAATACAGGTATACCCCACAGAATATATCCCCAGTTAGTGTTTTTCTGGAAAAAGACATGTGAGTCTCTAATACTTAAACTGCACAGCAGCCACTTATTACTCAGTACATTTTTCAGCTGATATTTATATAAACTCTACATTGAGTCCTCAAAAAGAACATTTTAAACTAAATGGTTTGCAAGAAAAGCTTCATGTTGCTTCCAAATTCAATTGGTAGATCATCAATCATGCTGGTCACTCTGCAAAGCTTTGGAGTGTCAACAAGCTGTCCAATATCTGATGTTCCTGGTCAAGGAGATGCCACTGCTACTGCACAAAGCAACTGTGCGGTAACAACCACATTAAATGCGGGGTGACCAAGAAACAATATCTTAAGCATTTTCCATCCTAACACCGTATTTGTAACTTCTATCTAGGTGCCATATAGTGATTTAGGAAATTGGTAGGGTTTTTCCAGGACTTGCAATGTCTTATAATTTTTGCTATTGAAGATAATGGGAAATAGGTTCTCCTTAGTATTTTCTCAGAGAAAGTCTGACATTTCAGGCACAAATCACTGACACATATTAATGGTGGATGACTTCCCAGTCTTGTTTCACTTTTAAATTTTTAATTACTTAGGTCGGAAATTACTTAACTTCATTTCTTCCAAATCTTGTAGTAAAACTGATGCTCCAGAAAGCCATAGCACAGATATTCTGCTGTTTTGCATCCTCTTTACATAGAATTGGGGCTGCCAAGACTCATTGGAGAAGCAGGTAGTAATGCAGAACTTGGAATTAATCAGAGGAACTAAAAGGGGAACTGACTTAAGAGAATTATCAGTGTAACCCCCACCAGCAATAAATTATTAAAAGTGGTTCCAAATGTATATTTAAAAAGGGATGTTAAATGTGGTTACAAAGAAACCATACTGTAGGGCAGAAAGGCTGAGTTGTGTATTACCTTCCTACACAAACTTCCCCAAGATTTTGGGAGGACCACCGGGAACTTCTGGTCCTGTTGCCTGTGTTAATTAGGCCAAGAGGTCCACACTGGGATAAGGAAACTGTGAACCAGCCTGTGTGGGGCATCAAAGAAGGGGTGTGGGTGTTGTCCCCCAAAGCAGCTTAGGGAGTCACTCACCTGTGCGCGTGAGTGTCCTGTCTGCATAATGCACGAATGAGGGCTGCTCACTGTGATGTTTTCTCTTTTTCACAACATGGCTGAGTTAGTTTCAAGAGGCCAGACCAAGACGTGGACCGTTCAGTCAGGCAGGGTCCACGGGGCGCTCTGGGCGGGCCTGACCACGGGGTCCAGAGGGAGGATCGTCGCAGCCGGAGGGATACAGGGGATGGCGAGAAAGGCGGCGTTGAAAAGGCAACTTCCAGCTTCCGAGTTCCCCAGCATTTCCATTCTAGCCAGCGAATTCATGGTTTCAAAGGCGGGCCAGGGAGCTTCCCTTCGGGGTCCAGGTAGTCTCAGCACCCGCCGGCTGCTCAGCCACACGCCCACCTGGGTACCAGCCTCAACAAGCGGGGCCTGCCCCATTGCGCATGCCAACCGGGGCGGGGTGCGGAAAGTGGGCGAGGCATGGAGTGGCGGGAGAGGGCGTGGGGCGCTGGTAGGGAGGGCGTGGTCTGGCAGAAGGCGTGGCGTGGCGGAAGGCGGTGGGGGCGTGATGGAGGGCGGTGGGGACTTGGGGGGCGTGGTGGAGGGCGGTGGGGTGTTGCAGGAGGTGGGGCGTGGTTAGGGAGGGTGTGGTGGCGGAGGGGAGGGCGGGAGACGGCGCAGGCGCTCCGAGGTCCTGGAGGGCAGATTGTCCCCGTGCCCCCTCCTGCAAGCTGCAAGAGGCGCTGGGCACTCGCTGGTCTGCGAGAAGTCCAAGTTCCGCCGCGACAAGTCGCCCCAGCGGCATCTTGTGGAGATGCAGGACCACGATAACAAGGAGAGTCCAGCCGCTCTGGGCCCGGCGGACCACGCCGGTCGCCCTGCATGGGTTTGGGTAGTTCCGCGCTCCGCTGGGCGTGCTGGAACCGCCCTCGGCGCGTGGAGGGGCGGGGTGGGAGTCCGGGCCCCTCGCTATGCCTGCCGGGAGCTGTAGTCTCTTAACCGCTCCCAGCGGCATCTTGCGGGAGGCGGGGAAGGGAGGTGCAGGACTACAATTCCCACAATGCAGCTCGCCCTGCTCTTCGGGGAGGGTCAGGGTGGTGTGTGCCTCCCCGCCTCCGACTGGCTGCGGCAAGTGGTTCTTGCCCCCCCCTTGCCCCGCCTCCTGCCGACCGAGTCCGGAGGGATGTGAGGGGACGACCCGGACTAGAGAAGAGGGTGTGACGGCTGCGAAATGCAGTAGTGGGCTTGCTGCGTGCAGCTCGCTTTTGCCAGAATAGAGTCCGGACTCGGCCTCCTCCTTACTGTCCCCGTCGCCTGCACCCGCAGCTCGCTTCCCTTTCCCACCTGCATGCCGGTGGGTCTTTCCAGAGCGTCACCGTAGTCCAGGCCAGGGAAGCTACTTGCGTTTCTAACTGCTTTGGGAACTGGCTTGACATCCCAGTAACTTTCCACTTTGCCTGCTGTCCTCTGCTTTCTCCAGCCAACGTGCCCCATTTCCGCGGCTCTTGGGAGAAATTCCCCTGTGGCCCCGGTGGAAAGCACAGCTTAAGGAGTTTACAGGGGTGGTAACACTGGCTGTTGCTTCCTGAAAATGTCAACCCCACAGCACGCGTTTTTCACAGATGTGGAAGTTGAGGCATTGGTGAGGCTGCCCGTTGGTTTCCCCAGGATCTGCCGAGAGCAGAGAACAACCATGATCCCAGGCAAGTGTCTAGGGGGCCATTTTCAGCAACCCATTCAAGTGCAGAGGCCTCAGAAAAACTCAGCGTACGTTGATGAGCCTAATCTCAACTCAGGCCCTGCTGGCCAGTGTCTCAGAGGCACAGTGGTGACCCTGATCCCTCAGGAGCAGACAGACTGTTCCAGCCTTGGAGAGCGATGTTCAAGGTCCGGAGCATCTGGGCAGCATTTGAAACCTGTCAGGTTTAACGTCTCTGCTTTGGAGGAAAGCCCATCACAGACAGCAGTCAGCGATGTGACCTTGACGTGCCTGGTCTGATCTGTTGGATTTTTTTGTCTGGGAATGGAAATATCCAGGAGCACTTTTCCTTCCATTTATCCTCTTAATAATCGATGTTCGTAAATTCCTTATGCCCTAAGGGACAGTTCCTTTGATTGCAGGGTAGTACCCAGATAAACGCATCTAGGGATATTCAGTTATACCATATTTCCTTAAAAATTAGTTAGAATAGTGAAAGGAACAGGACATAAACTCTGCTGCTCTATTGCAAAAGATAAAAGGGAAGCAAGACGTTCCAATTAAAATGTGTCTGGTCATTCTCTTCCCTATACTGTGCATTTGAATGCAAACACAACAGACTTGAATTGTCAAATTTCTCTTGCCCTGAGATTGGTAAGTTAACTTAGGAGTTTTAGTGTTTTGTTGAAATCTGTGGAGAAGAGTTAGCAGCCATCATGATTTATCTCGTCCCAAAAACCCTGTTGTTGATGAAATAAGACCTTGTTTATATTACACATTCTAACAGGTTGCTTGTCTGATTCCTGAGTGTGGGGTATGATCACAGGGACTGAAAAACCTGGTCACGGGAACCAGATCCTCTTACTTTGTGAAGAATTTCCCTCTTCATGAATTAATGACATGCGAATTTGTCAACACCTTTGTAAAGAAAGGAAGAAGAGCGGCATGGTGTCTGTGCATGTGGCAAGATGGCGGAGTCTAGTAAGACCACATCAAAGTCCTGGTTTCTTCTCTTGTGATACACAGGGCCTGGGTGATAGTCTGTGTGGTCAGGCGCAGCCCCGCTCCCTCATCCCTCAGTGTTCTCATCCTGCCCTGTCCTGTGCCCTCTTTAGGGGCTTTCTGATTACACATCCACTAGCGTCGGCTGGGGATGAGGGTGTCTGTCATCCTCAAACAAGGATTGCTGGAGAGGGAAGTCTCGGGATCTCTCTGTTCAGATACGCTGCTGTTGGGTGTGTGACTGTGACGACCCTGTGCTCCCGACGGTCCCCACAATGGTCATCTCTAAGCATTGGTCTCCTGATGTAACCACGGCAGCTCTTCACAGAGCCGAGCCTTCATTGTGGTTCTGTGTCTTCTGTGAGATTCTGTGGCCCTGACCCTCCCTCCCCTGCTCACCCCATTCCCATTCCTATCGGCTGGGTCTATTGTTTTGCCCTGCTCACCATGACTTCCTGGGGACCGTTTGTGTGTAACTGTTTTTTGGGGTCTTTAGGGATCCACCCTCACTCCACAAGTCACTGTACGACAGGCACTCCTGGTCTTGTTGTAGCCGTGTGTTCCTGCTCTCCAGTGGAGCTATCAACAGCCCTAGGTGCTCATAGCTCCTCTCATTCTCTTGCTGCTGGGGCCGCTTACAGAGCTGGCATCTCGTCTTTGGTCTCATCGACATTATTGTTTCCTTTGGTTTTGAAGCCTGGCCCTACCTTGTTAGTAACGTGGACACTGGTTGTTGCAGGCACTGTTACGTATCTTACCCAACAGCTCTATGAAGTAGGCCTGTGGTCGCCGTTTTACAGGGCAGGAAACTGAGGCTCAGAGAAGTCCAGTAGCTTTCTTAATTTTGCACAAGTTCCTGGTGCATTTTGAATCTCCACCTGGCACCCTGCCTCTCAGGCGTGGACACTTACCGAGTGTTCCACTTTGTGCCTCTCTGCCACGTCCCCAAAGGCACACGCCCCATCCTGAGTCCATTTTCTGCTTGATGTAGCCGACCTGCACAAACAGGCCCTGGGTGGGGGGTGGACTCGTGGGGCGTGGCCTTCTGTGTCCTCAGGCTTCCTCTGGGCGGGTCTTAGGTTTCCTGCAAGAGCTGGAGCAGTGGGAGATACTGGAAAGTTTGTTATGTAAAAATACCCCACTGACTTTTTTGCAGGTATCGTCTCTTTGTCCTCCTTTCTCCTCTGGGCTCTCTCCTGCAGGTTCTTGCTGTGCACTGACATGCAGTACAAATATTGATGAAGATAATACTGTCGCCCTGCTGCCAAATGGCAACAACAATCATTATTTCTTCTTTTGCTAGTTATAAAAGAAATATATACTGTAAAAGAAGTCAAATTATACAGATACAGAGAGAGTAGAGTGAAAGTGTCCCCTCTCATCTCCTTCCCTCAGATTCACTCCCCTTCTTAGAAGGAACTATTGTCAACTGGTGTGTGGGGTTTACGCTTCTGGACATTTTCTATGAGTTAATAAATACACATAAAATATTTTTAACATAATTTTCATCAACAATTGTTTTGCAGTTTACTGTTTCCCATACTATAGACCATGGGTGTCTTGCCTTATTATCAGTGCGCATAATTCTAACTTGCTATTTTTACTCCAAAGAATGGGCATGCCCTGGTTTAACTATTTCCTCTTAGGTAGAATTTAAGACTATTTCTAGTTTCACTCTTATAAACCATGCTGCTGTAAGAGCCATGTGCAGAATTTATTCCACTGATAACTGCCTAGTTGGCCTTGCTTTCTTTTAGCCAGAGAGCATGTCATATTTTTAACCTTTCTTTAATGAGAATTGTTATTTGTTTTATAGTAAAATTACTTTTGTCACTGGAAAAAGACACTTAGGAAGAAACTGGACTTCCTGTTCATCCATCTCAGTGTTCTGGCAGAAAAATCATGAAACTTAGTAGGTATTATGCTTGCTCCCTCACTTCCTAACAAGTCAGTAATCTTCCCACAGCAATTTAGATTTAAATGTTTCAGTTGCCTCTACTCTCTTTGTTCATCTTATATAAGATACAGAAGGACAAGCTCTTCTAATAGTAGAATTAGGGAAAAATGAGATTTTGCGATGCAAAGTCTTATGCAAATGTAACCTCCCACTTTCTGTGGGTTAGGAAACCCGGAGCTTAATTGCACTGAGTGGCTCTGGCTCAGGGTCTCTCCTGGGGTTACAGTTGAGAGGTCAGCTGGACCTGTCGTCATCTGAAGACATGTCTGGGGCTGGAGGACCTGCTTCCCACGAGGCTCCCTCACATGGCTGTTAGCTCCAGGCCTCAGTTCCTTGCCAAGTGGACCTCTCCTTACCATGTGCAGCTGACTTCTCCCAGAACAAGTGATCCAAGAGAGAAGCAGGCAACACAGAATCTGCAGGGCCTTTTTATGACCCAGCCTCCAAAGCCACACCCACCACTGGCACTTTATTCCCTTGAAGCCAGCCACTAAGTCCAGCCCACACCCGAGGCAGGGGGAACAGGTTCCGTCTCTTGAAGGGAGGCATTCCAAGTATTTGTGGACACTTTTTAAAACCACCAGATGATCTAATGTTCAGTCGGTACTTTAGACATCAATAAATGATCACATTAACATATTTAGGGCTGAGGAATATTTTCTCTGTGAGCTTGGAGCTTTTTACTCCCCTCTGAGCAATAACCACTAGGATGAGGTAGATAAAATCAATAATGTCAAAGCATTATCACAATCTGTTGTCTGTGTCCACATTCACTCTAATAATAGCTGTATTACCTGCTTCCCTCCCAAACCCACCCGCAACCTACTCCAGTTCTTGCAGAAAACCCTTATCCATTCATTTCTTAGGAGCATAGGAAATGCTATAT